TGAGTGTGTAGGTCTGCGCCCAGGATTCAAACAGGCGAACCTGGGGCTGCCCAAGCGGAGTGCATGAACTTAACAACTCAGCCACAGGGCCAGCCCCTCCATTGTTGATTTCTGCTTTTTCTTCAGTGTATTTAATGTGAGAATGGGTGAATGTGGGGAAATGTTGAAAACTACTGGCCCAGAACAATCTTTTTAAATACTGCATTGAATACTTACTATCTGCTGTTCCTTGAGAATAATAGATAAAAATAACTTCTTGAATTCTTTTCTATGCTTTTATGCTTCTAGCATTCTAAATTTATAACCAGTCCCAAAAGTTTTCTATTTACTAAAACTATTAGAGCAGAGCATCATAATATTTATTCCAGTCCTTCTAAGAACACACTTTGGCTTATGCAAAAGGTTGTTGAACACTTGAGTAATTTACTGTGAAAAAATCAAGACTATCTTTGACTGGGTTTATGAAAAAAATAGATTGAAATTAGACTATTCTTCCACATCCATCCACCATGACCACCACCACCAAATGACACCAAGGGGTTAGCTAATAGATGTCCCTGTGTACCTATATCTTTAGATTGTTTTATTTACTAATTATGCTATAAGTACATAATGTTTACAGAAATTGATTTTGGTAGTGATTTATAATAAAATATCAGGTAAAAGATTAATTGACTCACTTCCAGGCCTTAGGTTCCTGTAGTAATCAGAGTATAGGAATACATTGTTTAAAAATGCACTTGAAGTTTTCCATTCATACTCTATAAAAGCAAATTGAGTGCCTATTGTTATCCATAAATATCTTAACTGCTAAAATTTTCCAGAATTGTAAGTGAAAACCAATGATTTCAGAAAGTTATTAAATAAGAGAAATTCAAGTGTTAATAAAATGTGAACTCAGGACTTTTTGATATTTTCTTAGATAAAGCTGTCAGTCATTTTGTACTTTTTAGATTAAAACAGATTTTTTAGACTTGATTCATGCCTTCTCTTTTACAAATCAAACCATCTTATAGCTCTCATCTGCTTATTATTATTATAAATTTATGATGGGCATACTTGATTGTAAGATAAAATAAGATACATCATATCTTACTATCAAAAACTAACTTTTGTGATCAAAGAATGATTTAGAATGGAACTCAAGGCAGTGTAAATATATATCTTTCTAAAAGCTGTCTTGTAAGCTTCTGTTTAGGGCTGCTTTTGGCTCTTAGGGTAAAATGTTCAATGTTTACTCATCCCACTAAACTAATTATTTAGGTGTAGTATATGTCATACACGCACTGTACAAAGCACATAGCTGGAATGACAAACCTGACATATATGTGTATATATTTCTCCAAATATTTATAGCATCTGCTGTTTGCAAGGTACAACATCGGGAACTTCTGTTACAAGCATAAACAAAACAGTCTCTGCACTAATTACAGCCTAGAAAGGATGACAGACATAAATCAGATTATCATACAAAGAATTGTAAAGTTATCACCATGAAAAATGCTCTGAAAGAAAGGTGAACACTGCTGTCAGAGCTCCTGAGAGGATTTGACTGCATCTTTGGAGAGACTACACAAGGGCTCAAAGACTTCCCTGAGGAACTGACTTTTGAACTGAGAGCCAATGATTATTGGAAATTACGTAGGTGAAGGAGGATGTGAGAAAATTCCAGGAAGCAGAAATAATGTATAATGGGTGTGGTACTGTAGAGTGTGAGTTATTTGAGATGAAAGGAGGCCGTGTAGCTGGAACACAGAACAGGAGCGAGTGTGATGCAACATGAGGCAGGAGAGAGAGCAGGGGCCGGGCCTATTAGAGTCTTTTACATTCAGGATTTGAGTCCTTTTCTCAGAGCAATGGGAAGGATTTGAGAGATTTTAAGCAGTGTGGGGATGGGAAGAAAGGATATGAAAGGATTGGATTTATTTTCCCGAAAGATTGGTATAGATGGGATTGGAGAGGGAAAAGTGTGGTTGAAGGGAGACCCATTACAAGGCTGTTGGAGTAATACTGGCACAAAGTAGCTTGGATTATACAGTGGAAATGGAGCAAGGCCTAGGTTTAAAAACCCATCCTTACTGCTCCCCACAACCCCCAAGTGTTTCATTCATTTTAAAGCCAAATTATGCTATCTCCTTATAACAGAGGATCTAGGCTATCCTTTGGGGGATTTTTGTGGCTCTCTGATCAAAAACTTCCAGTTGGAAATCTAAAGAAGTGTAATGTGTTGCCTTACCTGGTACTATCCCACTTGTAAGCTTGCTATTTCAAGTCCAGTGGTGATTATATATTGATGTTTATTGATAGTTGTCTCGATAATTATATTATGACACTGGCCCATTGCATCCTCAGTTTCTGGGGTTTCCTAAGTGTACCTACAACTCAGTGGGAACACTAAGTCTTACCTCTTACTGAAATGTTCTTTCCCTCCTGGGTTTTCACTCCCTCCTTCTTCTATTATTACTACTTTTTTTGTTTGAATGTCGTGTGATGATGGTGTCTTATGTTGACTTATCAATGATATCTTTGTCTTAAGTTCTTGTTTTACTTAATACTGAGTTACCTAGATATTCTATTATTATCTCCTGAGGCAAAAGCCTTAGGTTATAGAGTCATGTGAGCAGGGTTGTTGTCTTACAAAGAATTTCCTCATAATTTTCCTCTTGTTCTGCTTTTCAAGGAGGTGCATTGATTGACCCTCTCTTTAGTGTAAAACACTATGCAAAATAAGTGAATTTATCAGTGATTTGCAATAACTCTTTACAACAACCTCATCAATTATTTATAAAAGTGGTTCGTGTACAGTGTTAGCTTTGGTGAGAATAATGTGCTTTATACATTGATTAGTAGTGAAATAAAGAGATGTCACGTCTTTCAGTTTCAGTAAATTCCCCCATTTGTTTGAGAAGGATAAATTTTTATCACACTTTGCAAGGATCCTTAATAGAAAGTGTTAGTCAAAAGTCATCTAAGGGTGAATTGTCTGCAATTGGGAACATACTTAAGTAAAGAAAAAAAGAATAAAATTAAATTTCTTTCTTATGATAATGTCAGCCACCTTAGAAATGTGAAAATGTAACATTTGGTGACACAAACGACAAGCTTTCCACTTATCTTTAAACCAGCTTGTGGGCCTCTAACAGTTCAAAAGCTGTGTGCCGTCCTTCCCTAAGAAGATGGTGGCTCACATTCTCGAAGGTTCAGTCTCAGTGAGGAAGGTAACTACAGGCTCACTAACAAGGAAGAGTTGTAAATAGAGGAAGAGTTAGTTGGCTGGCTTCAGGCTCTCAGAAAAAAAGCTCTGCATTCTCCGTAGGCGCTCCGCAAGCAGTGTCTCTTTTAAGGAGCCAGTATAATCTGCCTAAAGGTGTTTCTAACTTGCTGGATGAAGAACCTCTTTTTGTGCTGGATCTACTCCTATCTTCCTAGATCCTAGCTCTCCTGACTTGATCACCTCTAATCCCTACTACCTCCTGAAACCTGTCTTCTTCCTGACCTTGACTCCCTTCTGTGCCAGCCACCTGCCCTTCCTGGTGCCTAACTTGATACTGACCATCGTCGATGCCTTCTGCTCACTCTTAACATGATAGCCCAGTTCCATGGCTGGTCTCTCAAGAGCAGACTGTTACTTAGCACTGATATGCTTAAAAGTCTTCATAGTAAAACATATGCTATGTTATAGAAAGTAACGTCAGGATATGAGATTGAACCTGTTAATTTGAGGGTAGCATTGTATCCTTAAAGCTTTCTCAGATATAAGATCTTTAGAACGTTTATTAACTGGGGCTTAAAAACATTCTTGACTAGAGCTCTCTGAAAACTAAAGTTAGTATTTTAAAAGTGAAATAGTTAACAGCTCTTCTCCCTGCACTGGTCTGGCCAATAGTACAAACCCACTTATGTATTTGTTGAATGTTTGATAGTCACCAAATTCCATATTTAATTATTCGCTTTGGTTTCACCAACATAAGCCATTAAGATACGTTTGTTTCTGGTTTCTTATTGCTGTGTAAAGCACTCTGAATTACTTACTTTATCAACAAGCTAATAGAGTATTTTATAGCAGCCATAAATATGACTCAAAACCAATGATCTTGCTATAGAAAAACCATATCTTATGTTTGCCATTAAACACCGATTCTACTTGAACCAAATAGCACATTTGGACGTTATATGTTGATTAGCAGTATCGCATATAGAAGATTCATTTGTTGATGTTAGAATACTAAACTGACTAGCTTCTGTCTATATAAAGAAGGTTGAAATTGGTACATATACTGCCTGAAAAGCTTAATTATTTTGTATGTCATATACTGGTATGAGTGAAATTAAATTTATGTGGCAATGAGCATTAACTTCCTCCTGATGTTCTGAGGTTTTGAAATATTTATATATAATGTTTAAAAATTAAGATGAAGAATAATTATTAAATTAATATGCTTATTTTCATGTGTAGTTTGTGTGCTCTGTTTCACTATTTTATAATTGTGGCTTCTGTATCATCAGAAGTTTAAAAAATTCCTAAAACATAGATGGATTGCATCTTTGTTTCAAAATTCACTGAAATGGTATGTGGTGCTTATTTAAGAGCAACTAAACAGTTATGAGACTTTAGCCCTTTTTAAACCTATAATCCTATGTAATTTCAGCCATGTGCAAAAAGAATTTGATGTAAATAGTTACAACACTGTGTACTACCTGTGAATTATTGATTTATAATGAACATTTACATTGTACTAATGAACTCAATGGAATCATTTCTAACCTGTGAGATATTTGTTTTGAAGGAGAAAATAGAAATAGAAATTGTTTTCACAACTTGAATATGTAGTTCCCCATTAATATTGGTTCTTTCACCAATTATTACCACAAAATTGGCTAAAATTAATACTCTTCTGTCATAATGGATCAAGGCAATTTACATTTAGTTTTCTTTGTCTTGTTTGTTTGTTTGTTTTGTTTTATTCCCTCCACTCCTCAATTATTTCATGGCATTTCAGTGCTTCAGAGAATTTAGATGAGCTCTCTTCCTCCAGTAGCTGGTTACTGAACCAGAAGCACAGTAAGAAAAGGAGAAAAGACAGGACAAGATTGAAAGCTCCATCCTTGACTGTCATGAGTACAGCAGCTCGAACACGGCCACTTCAGAGTTTCCACAAGCGAAAACTCTACCGATTGAGCTCTGCCTTTTATTGGACTCCACAGGTAAGGTTGCCTTTGGGAAAACATCAGCAAAGATTTTACTGTCAATATATTTCACATAAGAGAGGATATGGATCGTACAGTTATTTAGAATAATGACATCTAGAAGGCTATAAATATATAGTTTATAAATGACCTAATAGGTATTGACATAAGTGGAATTTAATAATTTTTCAACATAGCAGAGTATTCTGAAACTTTTCATATCTCCATTTTTTGTAATCCTTTGTTATTCTTAAACTAATTTGAGGGACAATACATAGCAAGGTGATTTTAAACTTTACTGGTAAGGGTAATAAGGAAAACACAAAGGTACTACCTGTTTGTCTTTTGCTTAGCAAAGAAAAAGGTAAAGAAAATCTGCACAGCTGTCAGCTATTTGGGAGGAAATGACATTGCTCTCCTTTTTAGATTTGGTACTTGTTAATTCTGGTGAGCACTCCTTTTCTTTTTTCTAGGATATAAGCAATTCAATTTTAGATGTCCATCTTTATACTTTTTACAAAGTAAATATACTCCATTAGAAGCATTCATTTAGAAAAGTGTATTTTTTATTTTTTAGCAAAATGTTATGTGTACATCTTTCAGTGCATCTCTCAACACCCTGTGGTTAAGGGCAAAATAAGTCATCTCTAGTTCTCATTGTATGACATGCTTTTTTTTTCCTATTATGTTTTTAAATAATATGTCAAAGGAAAAAAATTCTCTTTGATCTATCTATACTATCATTTAATATTATTTCTGATGATTACTATGTTAACTATGTTAAACATATTTGCATAAAAGTCAAGATGCTGTTTCATGAGAAACCATTTTTGAGTTCGATTTTGTAGGATCCAGTTATAAATAGGAATGTGGATTCTGACAAATTAGTTTTTATTAATAGATTGATTTTTACCATTTAGTAGTTCAGTTATTATTAGTATGCCCCCCAACTTGAAAATTCTTTTTAATGGTTTTATTTCAGAATTTTAAGAAATTTTACATAATCAAACTAATAATGAAAATAAAAAATATTTTTATTTAAAGTTTTTATATATAAAATCATATTTTATTTAATGATTTTTATTTAAAGTTGCTATAAGCAATAGGTAATATTTTTGAAATTGATTTTATGTTTTCATAGTTACAAACAGAATTGTCTATCTAAAATATTTTACATATGAATATACTATAACATTCTGCCTGGAAGTAATCTGCTTGAGTAATTTAGAGGATTTGCTAGATGTTACTAAAATACTACATATGCCTTGATAATGTAAAGATTGGCCTGGAAAGGTGTAAGCAAATTTAAAACTTTCAGCAAACAAAGGAAGAAACAAGTGTTGGACTGTTGTTACTAGTACACCAAATAATTTGTCATATTCTAGTCACAATGCTGAGCATTTTCAGTATTTTATTTAATCCTCAAATATGTAACTGTGAGGCATTATTAATTCCACCTTTAGTTGCAGAAATTGAGGTTTGGGGAGATTAAGTAACTTGCCCAAGGTCACACAGCTAGTAAGCAATAAGTCTGGTTCCAAAGCCCATGTTCTTACTCATTACATTGATAACAACAAAAATAAACCAAATTTTTTGTGTGCTTGAATTCAGTAAAGGCAATATATTTGGGGATTGAGGAAGGGGCTTTGTGTGGTTAGAGGTATAGTCATGCACCACATAATGATGTTCTGGTCCGTGACAACCCACAAAAATGATGCAGATCCCCTAAGATTAGTACCATGTAGCTTAGGTGTGCAGTAGGCTATACCATCTAGGTTTGTGTAAGTGCACTCTGTGATGTTCACACAATGAGATCACCTAAGGATGCACTTCTCAGAACGTATTCCCATTGTTAAGCAATGCATGACTGTAGTAAGAAATGCATCATAAAAGATGGGCTTTGAAATATAAACAGAATTTTGAAAAGGTATGGAGGAGATAAAGAATTTTAAGTGAATAATTGGAACAAAGATGAAAAAAATGATGGAGAATAGCAAATGCCCCACTTCCAACTTATCTCTCAAATTGGCAAGATAATAGTTAATTACCTTTCTGAACTTAATAAATCTCATTTCTCTCAGGATGCCTTCCTTTGACATCCCCTCTGTGGGGTATATATTGATATAACACCCTGTGTTATAATAATTGATTATTTTATAATAATCCATTTATTTTTCTGTCTTCTCATTACATTGTAAGTTTTTAGAGAATAAGGACTATATACAATAGTCCCCCCCCTTATTTTTGCTTTTGCATTCTGAAGTTTCAATTACCCGCGATCGACTGTGGTCTGAAAATATTAAATGGAAAATTCCAGAAATAAACTAAGTTTTAAATTGTGCCTCGTTCTGAGTAGGGTGGTGAAATTTTGTGCCATCCCACTATGTCCCTCCTGTGACATGAACCGTCCCTTTGTCCAGCGTATCCTCGCTGTATACGCTGCCTGTCTGTTAGTCGCTTAGTAGCTGTCTCTGCTATCCGATTGAGAGTCATGGTACCACAGTGCTTGTGTTCAGGTAACCCTTATTTACTTAATGATGGCTGCAAAGGCCTAGAGCAGTGGTGCTGGCAATTTGGATATGCCAAAGAGAAGCTGTAAAGTGCTTCCTTTAAGTGAAAAGGTGAAAGTTCTTGACTTAATAAGGAAAGAAAAAAAATCATATGCTGAGGTCACTAAGATCTATGGTAAATTTTATTAGAGTATACTGTTATAATTGTTCTATTTTATTGTTAGTTATTGTTGTTAATCTATTACTGTGCCTAATTTATAAATTAAACTTTATCATAGATACTTAACAGGCATACCTTGGAGATATTACAGCTTTGGCTCCAGACCACTGCAATAAAGTGAATATTGCAATAAAGCAAGTCACACAATTTTTTTGGTTTCCCAGTACATATAAAAGTTATGTTTACACTATGTGGTAGTCTGTTAAAAGTGCAGTAGCATTATGTCTAAAAACACAATGTATGTACCTTAATTAAAAAGTGCTTTAGGGGCTGGCCCCATGGCCTAGTGGTTGAGTTTGCATGCTTCCATTTTGGTGGCCCAGGTTCATGGGTGGTTCCCGGTAGCAGACCTACACCTCCTGTCAGCAGCCATGCTGTGGCGGCATCCCACGTACAAAATAGAGGAAGACTGGCAGAGATGTTAGCTCAGGGCGAATCTTGCTCAGCAAAAAGAGGAGGATTTTCAACAGATGTTAGCCCAAGGTGAATCTTCCTCAATAACAACAACAAAAGTAGTTTATTGCTAAAAGATTGTAGCCATCATCTGAGCTTTCAGAGAGTTGTGTATAATCTTTTTGCTGGTGGAGGGTCTTGTCAAAAGCGCACTATCTGCAAAGTTCAGTGAAGTGAAGTGCAATAAAACGAGGAATGCCTGTATAGGAAAAACCATATTTATCTATAGAGTTTGGCATTATATCTGTAGTTTCAGCATCCATTGGGGTTCTTGGGACACATCCCCTGTGAATAAAGGGGAACTATATTCCTGAACATATGAGGCTTTCAAGAGTAACTGTGCAATAGTATATGCTCAATGAGTAATTGTTTAATGTGTGAAAGAATTGGTGTGGTAGAACGTAGGAAGATATTTAAAAGGCAATAGAGAGCGAGAACTTGTGAGTGTGTGTTTCCTTGATTTGCCTTGTGAAAGTTCCAGTGGAACTTTCTGTAATGATGGAAATGTCCTATAAATGTCTGTCCTGTCCCATACAGTAGCTATTAAATCCATGTAACTATTGAGCACATGAAATGCAGCTAGCAGAACTGAGGAATTGAATTTTTAGCTTGTTTTCTTTTATGTTTTTTGGTGAGTAGTATTCCATTGCATATGTATATATACATATCTTCTTTTTTTAATTATTTGATGAGGTCATAGTTTATAACATTGTGAAATTTCATTTTTCAGTCACCACATATATGTGCCCCTTTACCCCCTATGTGCACCCCTCAAACCCTCTTCCCCTCTGGTAACCACTAATCTGTTCTCTTCGTCCATATGTTTGTTTATCTTCCACGTATCAGTGAAATCATATGGTATCTGTTTTTCTCTATCTGGTTTATTTCATTTAACATAATATCTTCAGCGTCTGTCCATGTGGTTGTAAATGGAACGATTTGGTCTTTTTTTATGGCTGTGTTCCATTGTATATATATGCCATATCTTCTTTATCCATTCATCAGTCAGTAGGCACTGGGTTGTTTCCACATCTTGGCTATTGGGAATGATGCTGCAGTGAACATAGGGGTGCATAAGTCTCTTTAGATTGTTGATTTCAAGTTCTTTGGATAGATACCTAGTAGTGGGATACTGGGTCATGTGGTATTTCTATTTTTAACTTTTTTAATGTTTTTTTATTTTTATTGAGTTCAGAGTAGTTTATATCATTGTGAAATTTTAGTTGTACATTATTTCCTGTCTGTCACCACATAACTGCTCTATTTCACCCCTTGCGCCCATCCCCCACCCCCTTCCCCTGGTAACCACTGAACTGTTTTCTTTGTCCATGTGTTTATTTATATTCCACATGTGAGTGAAATCATATGGTGTTTGTCTTTCTCAGTCTGGTTTATTTTGCTTGGCATAATTCTTTCCAGGTCTTTCCGTGTTGTTGCAAATGGGATGATTTTGTCTTTTTTATGGCTGAGTAGTATTCCATTGTATATGTACACCACATCTTCTTTATCCAGTCATCAGCCGATGGGCACTTGGATTTTTTCCATGTCTTGGCTATTGTGAATAGGGGTGCAATGAACATAGGGGGACGTATGTCACTTTGGGCTGTTGATTCCAAGTGGTTTGGGTAGACACCCAGTAGGTGGATAGCTGGGTCATATGATGTTTCTATTTTCAGTTTTTTGGGGAATTTCCATTCTGTTTTGCACAGTGGCTGTCCCAGTTTGCATTCCCATCAGCACTGTAGGAGGATTCCCTTTTCTCCACACCCTCCCTAACATTTGTAACTTTTTGTCTTTGTGATTATAGCCATTTTAATGGGTGAAAGGTGGTATCT